GACTATAAGCTTTTAGATATAATACACAATATTTTTAAAACATATWTTAAATTTTTTAAGAAAATAAATGTTATAGCATTTTATAACCCTAGTTATATTATATTCCTAATACTCAAATAATTGTATTATTCATTACAGTTATATCGACGGTCAATGACCCCATCAAAGGATGGATAGATAATTTTAACGGACCGATCGGACTAATGACGGCATGTGGCAAAGGAATTGTACGAGTAACATACGCCGATAAATCAATAATTCCCGATTATATGGCCGTCGATATTTCCATAAAATCAATGATCGTAGCGGCTTGGCATAGATCTACATTAAAGTAAGTACGCACCTAATTATTTAACGGAGTAATAATATTTGTATAGTCACGTTGTAATTACTGTAGAATACAACTGTAAATGATTACGATTCGCATTYGGTGGGTGGGTTTATTCTGTAGGTCTTTAGAATAATTTGTTTGTCGAGAGTGGCAGGTACGCAGGGAATATTCTGGTTATTAGTTTGTTAAATATTTAAATCAGATGCTCCTTCACCACTATAGTGCTGCACTGCTGCCACAGAAATGGCCGTTTGACTAGAATAGACGAAAGTAACTTGGGTGATCAATCGAGCTCATTATTCTCAGAATTCAAAATTAGCTAACTCACATYTTAACGTCACAGTACCAACATATACCAAAAGGTACTCGTATATTATTATTATATCATTATTTTTATTATTATTGTATTGTTTTAAACTTCTACGATATTGTAATTTAACTTAGATGATTACATTATATTGCACTCTCCCAATTTAATGGACTGGTAATAAAAAGCATTGATCTCTTAAAAGGTATGGTAAATTGCACCTGAGTATAGATGAGTGGTTTTAGTATCTAAATTACTTCGAATTTTACTCATAGATATCTTAAATATATGTCACATTGCTAATGGTGATATAAGAATATTACTTATATTAGTTATTACATTATTATTATTATTATTACTATTACTTATACTACATTGCCAAAATATTATATGTATATATAATTTACCAAAAAAATAAAATAAAATAATAAAACTTAATATGATCAACCAACCACTCAYATTATTTAATTTATATAGGTTTTACGTGTCGTAATATTTCTATATGTATAGGTATTATTAACTAGATTTGTTTTATTTTTTGCAGTTGTTTGGAGGAGAACGATGTTATCCCCGTTTACAACAGTGCATCTGTATCAAAATCTGTATCAAACAAAGAATTATTAGATTTAGGTATGAAAACTCTTGAACAATATCCATTCGATGAAATGTTGTGGCGACCATCGATCAAGTTTACGACCTGTTTTTACTACTATTACATCGTCACAGTTATCGAGCAAGTCTTGCCAGCGATATTTGTCGATGCCTTATTGGAACTGATTGGAAAACAACACAAGTATAAAAACGTGTATCAATCTATCTAGTACCTACTACCAGTACTACTTATTTCTATATTAGATGTATTGAATCATTTAATTAAAAAACAGAAATTCGTTTTGGTTTCAACTCGACGGCATCAATATAGCCATATAGGTAACCTTTAGCTGGTATTTGTTCACTAAGAAA